ACAAATTGCTTTTCCCAGTGATCGTCAAACAGTAAGTTACCACTTGCTTGAGCCAAAGCGTCTTTTACTTTGACCCCAAATAACGTCCAGGCAGTGCAAAAAGTCATGTGAAGAAGTTAAACACTCAACTCTTACTTAAGAGTGAGTTATTCACTACTTACAAAATTATAGTTACCGTAACACATACATTTTGCAGAACTGAGAATCAAATATTTTTCCAACAATGTCATCTTACTGTTGATGCAGTAAAAGAAAATGAATCCTTTTCTTCTTCTACAAGGAACCAAAACCAAGATGAACTGCTGCTTTATTCCTCTAGGCAAAAAAGTCACATTCTACTTCTATAAATGCAGAAAGAGTACCAACACATTTCTGCAGTCCACTTATTTACCAGAGAAAATAAATATAATTTTTGATACTGAAGGGAAATTTTTAAAGGTTTTAAAACAGTATATATTAAAGCAGCCCAAACATTAATTTCATTCCATTATTTCTGTTTCTTTAGCTTAAAAAGAAATAAACCCTTTCTTGCAATGAGGAACTTCTGCCATTCAAAGTTATTACAAGGCAGATTACCTATGGAAAGGCTAAATATCAGTTTGTTTCTTCAAACCTTTGCTTTTGCTATACATAAAACACAGCTCTTTCCAAGTACTATGGAAGTATTAGCCAATATGAGAAGGGAAAAGCTTTTTTCTTTTTAACTGCTCTAGTGCAATTATTATGTGTCAGTGATTATTGAATCAAAATTATACACTAAGGATTTGAGCAACAAGCTACTGCCAAAAGGCACAGGATACTGTGTACCTCCAGTCTTAAGGGCAGAAAAACGTGCATGACTGCTCTTCTGTATTTAGACCAATGTACACTCTTTTCAAGTCCTTTTACTAAATTTCTATCCCACTTCCAAATACTTTCAAAGGCGTTACTCAGCTTCCAACTCACTAAACTTCCACTACAGGGAAAGTATATCGAAGGTAGGAAGACAATAGTTACATGAAATTGTTC